CAGGTAAAAACCTGAATTTCTCTTCAGTAAGAGGCTGTTTGTTTAATCCTTATTTTATTTACCAAACTACAGGTTTTGGCCATTGCATTTATTATAAAAATATAAGATTTAAACAGCTTGGTTTCAGTTTAAAAAATAAAATACATCTACTGCCCTCTAGTGGTGATATAGAGCCATTACAACTAAAACCTTTCCTAACTCATCAACGAATCACAAAATGATTGTGTCTATGTGATGTGAAAGAGTTTGATTTAAAAAAATGCAAAGATTAATGCGCATGCAGGTATAGATGACATCAGAGAAGTAGAAACAGAAATAAACAGGTGCTCCTTAGAGAGAAAGAGCCTGGATAATTTAATAATTTCCCTCTGGGATTATTAAAGTGTTTCTGATTCTGATTCTGATTCTGGATGGTCAGTAAACGTAAACTCTGATTGCAGACTTTCGCTGGTGATCTCATTAAAGCAACAGAAAATTAGTGTTCACTTGTGTTTTCTCTTAGATAAACAGTTGAGTTTATTGGTTCCATCTCAAGAGTCACTTTCCAGAAACTGTGACCAGACGGGGACTGGGATTACTGGGTTTACTGGGATTACTGGGATTACTGGGTTTGTGGGCTGGACCAACACCGTTGGGCCTTCGTTGTGGTCTGTTTGCAAATTTTTCTCATCTTAACCCTTTCAAGCCTGATCCAAGAATAAAACTAAACAGAAAATTACTCTTTTTTTTGTTTGAATTCCTTATTTGGCCTTTTAACAAAATATGTAGAAAGAAAAAACAAAAATACATTTTTAATATTAATAATTTACTACTATGCGATAATTCAAGATTGTTTTTTGTGTAGTCTTCTGCCCCCTAGGTATAACTGATTGTGTACAATAGGATTTTGAGCAAAGTTTTTACCATTAAATGATGCAAAAGGTGTCAGATGCAAAACATTTCAGAAACCGTATGAATCAAATATGACCCATTTGGCATTACAGGGTTAAATATGGTAATAAGGAAAATGTCTCTTTGAACTCTAATTTATTACTATGCGATATATCAAGATTATTATTTGTATAGTCTTCTGCCCCCTGTTATCAGGTGTATCTGATTGTGTACAATAGGATTTTGTGCAAAGTTTTTACCATTAAATTAAGCAAAAGGGGTCAGACGCAAAACATTTCAGAAACCGTATGTATCAAATATGATACATTTGGCGTTACAGGGTTAAACATGGTAATAAGGAAAATGTCTCTTTGAACTCTCTAATCATTTCACTTTTCAAGCAAATGAAATAAAATAACTGAAACAGTGGACCTGTGTGCTCGGCTCAACACTCATCACGATCTCAAACAGGAAAGTTTATTTTCATTGAGGTTGTCATTACACACAGTAGGATACAACAGGCTTCACAACAAGGTGCATAAAACATACATAAAGACTCACTCTCCATGAAGTGATATTGTGCATTTTATTGCATTTACAGCTGCAACCTTCAAATCTTTTGCACTACTTTAACCCGATTATTGCTCTCCCTTCTACAGACTCCTCTACATGCAGCTTGGAAAGACAAAAACAAAACAAAAACAAGTTCCCTGCTGTCATTACAGGCTGCAAACCATTTAGTTGAATGGCTTAAATGTTGTATCCCCGAGCTTGCTTGAACAATAGAGAGATGTGGTGTGAATAATTTACCAAACGTTATCAATAAATGATGGTCAAAGACTGGCAGAAGAAGAAGTGGGAGGTGACGGTGAGTCTTCGGGAGTTTGTGTTTGCATTCAGGAGGGTGTGCTGAGGTACATCTGCAGAGCGGGGGTGAAGATTAAAACGGTTCCCAGTATGGACACGGTGAGGAACGCCCACAGGAAAATCCGGTCCAGTACCTGAGCCACAAACTTCCAGTCCTGCACAACCTGATAAGACAGACAGAGACAATACAGTTCACAAATGGGATTCTTTTCTAAACCTCAAGCA